GAGAGAGAGAGAGAGAGAGAGGGGGGAGGAGAAAGATCGAGACAGGCAGACAGACCGACACAGAGAGTTAACAAAAAACATAATGAAAGGCCATGGAACTGACAAACTATGCGTGAATCCAAAAGCAAAACAAAAACAAAATCAAACAAACAGAAGCAGCTACTCGGTATCCAATTACCTTACACAATAACGCGACCGTGCAAAGGGATGAATTTAGTTAAAACATGTTAATGAAGCCCGATGAGAGAGGTAGCGACAAAAAACAGTTTTGAACTAGGAAGAAACGAGAGTAATCTCACTGACACAAACTGTCAACACGTTTAGGGGTAACTTGCGACAAATGCATCATGCTGAGCTCGACAGGTTTTAGGACTCTACAGAAAAAAGGAAAAAGCAATAAAGACTGCAAAAGCCATCAAGAAGGAATGTGAAATCTGAACTGCCTATACTAGCGAGTTTGGAATTGGAGGCCAGTAAAAATTCTGGAGTCTTTGCAAAACAAGGCTATCAGATCCTACCCCACTCCGAAGTTGTTGTACCACCAACCTCTGAATCACCGACTCCGACACAAGCATACAACACGACATTTCAGCACTGTTACAGTTCTATTAGTAAATTACAACCGTTCTATGGAAACTACAAGTTATCTTCATCATCACAGAGCTATTTGTCGTAAGGACGGAAGTGTACAAACATGTGCCATTACGTCATTCAAAATTATTGTTGTAAAACCCTCAGCGAGGTTTATGACTGTTAGCTTTTCAACCGCGTCCTTCCTCAAGGACATGTGCAATTGCACACGTTCCTTGACAGTTAAGAACTATAAAAAGAGCTAGCAAAATGACAATTTGAGTCTTAGAGTTTGAATAAACAAAATCACACGGACAGGATTATTCTGTGCTGGAAAAAAGCAAGACAAACGTACAGAAACAAAAGAGCAAAGAAAATAGGAAAGTTAGACTTATTGTAAAACAAATTTCCCCAAGGGATCTATAAAGCAGGATTTATTTCATACAAAGAAGAAATAGACTCTGAATACAGAAAATCACATCGACCCAACAACGATCATTCTATATTGAGATAAAGCTATACAGAAAAACAGAAACAAGCGAGCAGCGAAGGAAAAGAAAAGAAAAGGACCCAACCAATGACGACCTCCAACCATCGATAAGAAGGACAAAACAACAACAAATTAAACAAAAAGAAAAATAATAAATCATACTTACACGTTTCTATTCATAAGCTGACAGACAGAGAGAGAGAGAGACAGAGAGAGAGAGAGACAGAGAGAGAAAGAGAGAGA